TCAACTGCTCGACAAACAGTTTCACTGGTATTTTATCCATGACTCGAAAATATCTTGGTGACTAGTCCCTATATCTCGCTCCTATCGTGACACCTTTCTAACTGCTTGCTATCAACTGGAGTATATTTTGTTGACAGAGACCAGTGAGATAATGAGGGTGTATGACTTAAGTACATTTTCAACCAACACAACATACTCCACAAGCCATTTCTGCTATATTATTATTAGACACGGGATTGCCTCCCCCTTATCCACCGCTTTTGATAAATCGACCATTTCATGCTTTTATTGATAATACCACCAATCACCATTTATTTACATACGCTATATATTATATTATGCACGCATAAAGAAGCAACACCGGTAGCTATTTTTTTTTTCATCTATTTATTTTTATCGCGTGATTTGAGTAACGAAGTGATAAAATTAGAAGTTCATTTTTTTTCGACGCCAGTTTTCAGCCAGTATCTCGGGATTGAAGAGACATAGCGGATTTTTTATCTGAATATTTTTTATAGGCGAGGATGAGAGCTATAAAAAAGGTCATTACGAAAAAATTTTTTTCCTCGTTCAATTTCGAGATATTGGGGATAAAGTGATGTTGAAAAAAAAATGCAATTAAGTTACGGATGCATTTCTCTTTGATAAGAAATTTTCTACGATTTTGTTATCATTGAGGAGCCATTTCCGGTGGGAAATCCTCGCGGGGAATTGATTGATCGATCCTCTGAGGGTGAACAGGGAGGATTGAATGAAATCATTAGCGGGAGGAAGGGTGGAAACTATTGAAATCCTGGGATTCGAGTTTAATTATATTTTTATATCCCCTGAAAACCGTGGGTTTTGTCAAAGGATTGCCGACGACATCGCGAACAAGAGGACGTTTCACGTCACCTACGCAAAAGGAGTCTCTGTACCTCGGAGTACCCTTTATTTATCGTTCATTCGCACTCGTGCCACCAAACCGCCGACGTTGGGGCAAATTTTTAAATAAAACCCACGCCAAAACCCACGGGCGTGGGTTGCTCCCTTCTCATTCACGGAGAGAGTTAAATGTGGAAATTTCTGCGGTGAATCCCCCGAGTTGTAAACATTCCCGCATTTTTTAACAATTGCTAACAATTTCTGACACCACCCGGATAAAACAAAAATTGTAATCGGAATATTTTTTCCGAATTTTCAAAAAATTCCTGGAAAACTTTTCAAACAATTTTTTTTTAACAAAAAAAATTGGGAGAGAAAACAATTGGATTTTTGGGAAATGTTTTAAAAGATTTTTCAAAATCTTTCTCAAAAATAAAATTATTTTGTTCTCCGATTTTTTTCCTGTTTCGGAAATTAAAAAAATTACAAAATAAAAAGTTTTCCAGAAATTTTTGGAAAATCTGAAAAAATTATTCCGATCACAATTATTTTTACCCGGGCAATCAATTGTCACGTGCTCACAACATCTTTTTTTATTTATTAATTATTTCCATGAAATTTCAATATTTGCAATGGAAAAAAAATCTTCTGTTCGATTGACTTGATTAACAAATAATAATTGACGATCCATTACGATTTATATTTTATATCTCATTATCCAATATAATTCGCAATGAAAAAATGTATTTTCAAAAATTTCAAAATATCGCGGTTGATAAAATTATGGGTCTTTTTACTCCGAGGGGGAAGGGGGAGAGGGGAGTAATTAAAAAGTGATAACGAGTGAATTGGCGAATTGTTCGATACGTATGGCAAATCCATCATTTAGATGCAAGGTGAAACTGGTATCGGCATGCCATAGAGTGCGGTGACACCTTGACGATGGGTTGGGCCACGTGGGCTTGTCAGGTCGTTTTCGCCTACGAGAAACGCCAATTACAGTTCCTTTTTTTTTTTCATTTGAAAAATTGAGTTTTCCCCCTGAATTCATTCGTTTATGCCTGTTGAAATCTGATTGCTATTTTCCGTCTCCATTTTATAATCAATCGTGAGATTTTTGAAAATATAGTATTTTCATTGATCTTCCAATCGATTTCGAAAATTATTTACACGATAATTATTATATTTGATTATTAACTATTTCAGAAATTTTATATAAATCATTTTTATATATATAAAAAATATAGAAAACAGAACAATTTTATTTTTGGGAAGGGTTTTCAAAAATTTTTCATAAATTTAAATAGAACATTTTTTTTTTATAGTTTAGATATAATTAAAAATAATTATATTCGGAAAAATATCTAGAAAATTATTAAAAAAAACTTTCCGAAAGAAATTTTTGAAATATTTTTCAAAACATTTCCCAAAAAAACAATTGTTTTGTTTCCCCATTTTTTTTTGTTTCGAAAATAGAAAATTTCTGAAAAGTTTTCCAGAAATTTTTGGAAAATTTGGAAAAAATATTGCGATTACAATTTTTTTTCAACCTGAATTTGTGATGAATGAGGGTATATTTTTTGGATAATGCAATGGCTGGAGCAATGAAAAAAGAGGCGTGCCATAATCGATAAATACGGTGGGTGGAGAAAGAGGAGCGGAATCTCGTGGGCCACGACCTGAAATCGTTACTGAATGGAAAGAAGAAAGCCACGTGGGCGCCACGGGCCAATGTCCCCTCCCTCCTACAACCCAATACACCTCACACTCTTTTCACACTCTCTTCACACTCTTCACACACCGAGATGCCTTGAACGACCTTTTTTGGTATCCCACACCAACCACACAAAATTCCACCAGAAAATTCGCCTTCCAATCATCACCCCAACACACACCAAAATTTCCACACCGAATTACCATTTCGAGGTGCTAATTACAACCCGCAAATACATTAATTACAGAATAAAAAAATTAAAGAGGTCAACGCCACAATTGCTACCCCAATTTTAATAAAAACGGGTTCCCAATCGAGACCCTGTAATCCCCCAATAAAAAAAATTGATTAACAAATTTCCAAAAACGTACATCTGGTGGAAATTAATCAACCAAAATGGCGATGAAGAATACATATCTTTAATTGACACCGCAGATTAGTCGAGGTCTAGGGATTTGCGGTGAGATGATGAAGAATAACAGAAAGAGAAAGAATAAGAAGAGAGAAAGAGGAGCGGAAATGAACGTTACGTTTTACGATCACGCCTCGTATTGCCATTGATTGCCTCGGCTTCGACCACCCAACCCCCCCAAGCCCGCGGCCTCCCCTCAAACCCACCGCCCCCCCTCTTCGCCCCTGCCAATCAATAGAAGAATGAATGACCACTCACGTCACTCAAACTCCCAAAACAATCGATTGAATTCCTCCATTCAGTCACTAGAGGAAATGTACCACAAAATGGAGGAAAGATAGTTATCGAGGGAGAAAAAGAATGTCTAGTTGAATAATCTCACCGGAAGAAAGTCGTTGGATTTTAACGAGAAGGAAGACGTGGAGATACGGTAGGCGAGTTTTGCCTCGGCGGATACGACCTGGAGATTCAGTGAAAAGAATGGAAACGAAATCAAAGAGAGGTCTCGAGAAGATGCGCAGACTTGGTTGAATACACTTGTCATTCCTTCAAGTATACTTGGCTGGAGGAAAGTAGATCAGGGATTTTTAATTGACTCGAGTGGATTTTTTAATTGACTCGGGGAGAGTTGCTTTGGGGGCTGATTTGATTTATCAAGTCAGAAAGAAGTCAAAAAATTGTAATCAGAATATTTTTGTCCAGATTTTCAAAAAATTTCGGGAGAACTCTTCAGAAATTTTTTTTTTGAAACAAAAAAAAATCGGGAAGCATAACAATTGTATTTCTAGGAAATGTTTTAAAACATTTTTCAAAACCTTTCCCTAAAATAAAATTGTTTTGTTTTCCGTTTTTTTATGTTTCATGAAAAAAAAATTCTGAAAAGTTTTCCAGAAATTTTTTGGAAATTGGGAAAAAATATTCCGATTACAATTTATAATTATCCGGGAAGTTGGAAAATTGAATCACATCGAGTCAAGTGAGTCAAGTGGATTTGACTCAAAAAAAAAAAAACAAAAAGTATTTTCAGAATTTTTTTTCATGTCAGGATTCCAGGATATCCTCGAGTGTGCATTCGTAATTCAATTTCCCACCGGAAATCTTATCTCTGGTCTTCCTCATCCCTTGAAAACCCCAAAAACCCATATCCCGGAATATAACTTCCCGATTTATTTATTTTTACCGCCCGTAACTTTCATGCGCGTCCGAAAACTTTTTACGACGAAAAAGAAGTGATTACATGAAGCAGTTACCAACGAATTCGAATAAATTCAGTGATTCAATAAATCCCAGTAACATGAATTTTTCATTCCACCTTCCCTCTTCTCTCATTCTATTTTTCAATCTTGTTCGAAATCTCAAACTCAACTTCATCCCCACCCTTTCCCATCTAAGATCAACTTCAATGTTCGCGTGGGCGTCACAAACGATCGGATCGGCCTTCGTGAAACAAATCCGAGAAAAAAAAAAGGACGAGAGAGAGAAAAAAAAAAATCAGAGGAGCAGTTTGCGTCTTGAATTCGACGTGACGCGATCAATCGAGGGGGAGAGCGTGGGTGAGAGTCGTACAGATAACAAATAAAGAAAATCAAGGGAATCAGAGAGGAATTTGATTCGTTGAGACATGACCAGCAGAACGTGTGACAATTTGACAACTTATTCAACGTCCGATAATCTTTTTTTTTTATTAATTTGACTTGAAAATGACGACTTGATTCACTCCTCGAGAATGAAAATTATTGATTATTCAAATTAATCATCCGGTAAATTTTCATTCCATCATTTTCATGAATCAATGAAACTGACCGAATCCATCAAATATATTAAATAATATAATCAAGAGAATAATCAATACTTGAATCAAGAATAATATATTCCATATATTCATTTATTTATTTATCATCTCCTATTTAATATTTATTTTAATGTCGCCTTATCACCAATTCTTTCCTCGAAAAATCCATTAGAATATTATGACAGCAATCGATATAAACAATTCCAATTGATTATCACCTGTCTCATACGTATGTATGACAAACCCCAGGGCCGGTTGAATTTATTGCGCAGGCCAGGCATTGAGGAGGTGGCGATAAATTTAACTTCATCCGAATGAGAAACGAAAACGAGTGAAGAATGAACGATGTGTAAAGCCTTCGATGGGTTTCATATATAAAACGTGTGTGAAAGAGGAAAAAAGGAGAAGTGACCATTCCAAAGGGTAGGGGGCGAGAGGGGGAGGGGAATTATACGTCACTGGGGCATCCACCACGTGATTTCTACGATGGAGAAGTGAGTGGGGAGAAGTCCATTCATAACACGAGCAAGGACGCACGTTTGAGGCCACTCCCAGATACATTTGCAAATTTTATTTAACTTTTTTTTTTTAACCCCCTTCTCCCCCCTCTGCTCATCGTTCAAGTCACAAATGTAACGCCATAAATTTTGTTTATTTCCTGTTCCACGGGGAGTTTGGATTTTGCATGACTGGAATTTTTATCACTCGTTTTTGAAAATTAATGATCGAGATTAAAATCGTAAAGATAGACGCTGGGGTACGGGTAATTGCGCGAATTATGGAATGGCGGTTGAATTATTCTCGTGAGAGGAGGGAGATCGTGAAGAATGGGGAAAAAGAATTTTTTTGGAGATAAATCATTCTCTCAGGCAAGTGGACGGACTTTTGGATTCATTCGAATTTCAAAATCAGCGGTGATTGCGTTGTGGCATTATTTTATCTGACATCTTGGTAAAAATGGTGGAGGTAGGTATCGGGTATTTCTTGGTCCCGGGTAAAAAAAAAATTGTAATCGGAATTTGTTTTCCAAATTTTCAAAAAAATTTCGGGAAAATTTTTCAGAATATTTTATTTTTGAAACAAAAAAAAATCGGGAAACAAAACAATTGTATTTTTGGGGAATCTTTTGAAAAATTTTTCAAAAATTTGTTTCGGAAAATTGTTTCTATAATTTTCTACAAATTTTTGCGAATATAATTTTTTTTAAATTATACTATGGTTTTCTTTTAAAATTTTTCAATATTCTCAAAAAATTCGCCAACTAAATTATAAAAAAAATTTCCTATTTATATTTTTAAAAATTTTTTTAAAAGCTTCTCCACAAATAAAATTGTTTTGCTTTCCAATTTTTTTTGTTTCATAAAAAAAAATTCTGAAGAGTTTTCCCGAAATTTTTCGAAAATTTGAAAAAAATATTTCGATTAAAATTTTTTTTACCCGGGGTGGAATGTCAGTGCTTTGGATTCGAATCACGTAGAATATTCAATGCTCGTTATATTTTACCGCGAAATGAAATATTACAATGGTACGATGAAGAATGTAACATGGGGAATGAGAGAAACCGAGGGGGATGATCTCGTCTCGTTCACCAGAAGCCATCACCTTCGGGCGACGGATATGAAACTGGTTGGTTTACGGGTACTCGATTTGTACAGAGAGAGACAACTATTCACCAGCGGATCCTTTTCAGATCGAATGATCGAGACCATCGCCATGGGAGACTTGGCCAGACCAAAAGATCGAATAACACAATCGAGAAAACGAAACACGACAAAAAATCATACACTCCAACTCTCATAACGAGTCCTCAATAAAATCCATCACTTTTATTTACTCTATTTACCGATTTGCCGATCATTCAATTCGCCAATTATCTTTGCATCACAAGTATTTGGGATTAATCGATTACTTATTTTCCCACGAGTCGATCGATAGTCATTCGATTGGCAAACTCGATAATTCGACACGAGATCGGCTGAAGTCTCTTTCGATACACATTTTTACTCATTCATTCGATTCTTCGATTATTGTCGCAATTTATTTCCCACGATTGATTCATCATAATTTAATGTCATTGGTAAGAAAAATGCGGTTAAAAATTGAAGAACAAACTTCGGAAATTGTTTTATGGATATAAATCACGGGATTGTACGATGTTAAAGTTCCCGGGGGACATTGCAATATTAACTTTAATTTTTTCTTTAGTTCACCCGTTAAGGATAAATAATTCTGAGGGATAGAGTCAAAACAATTATTTTTAGCAATCGTTCCCTAATTTCCCGGGGGAAACAAAATTGTAATGGGAATATTTTTTCCAAACTTTCCAAAAATTTCTGGAAAAAAAATGTATTTTCATCTCTACGAGGGCGCAATCTTGTTCATTTCGAATCTATAGTCGATACGCAACTCAAATCTGTTCACTGCTTCCGGGAATTCCCATTATTGCGAGAGTGGTGAATTTTTTTAGAAAATTTCTCAAGTGAAAAATTTCCCGAAAATTTCCCGAAAATGAAAAAATTTAAAATCGCTCTACGAGGGC